GTGTCTGAAGGTCTACAAAGGTGCCTGCCACCTTGGTGGGACAGGGACCTTCCCATTCTGCTCTGTGCCTGACCATTGATCTTTGTTCCCACAGAGGAGATTTCTGACCTCACGGAGCAGATTGCTGAGGGAGGAAAGGCAATTCATGAGCTGGAGAAAGTCAAGAAGCAGATTGAGCAAGAGAAATCTGAACTGCAAGCCTCCCTGGAGGAAGCAGAGGTACATAGAATTATTTATTGCTTTCATGTCATGGATCTCTATCTCATTACAAACACTGTGAAGTGCTTCCCAGACACAAGAGGAAAAGAAGTTGTATGAAAGTAGATTTATTATCTAAACATGGCACACTTATATGCTCAGAACTTCAGGATGAACATTTGTCACATGAAAAGTATTCTGATTTATTCTTGTCCAGGCCTCCCTGGAGCATGAAGAGGGGAAGATCCTGCGCCTGCAGCTTGAGCTCAACCAGGTCAAATCTGAGATTGACAGGAAGATAGCAGAGAAAGATGAGGAGATTGATGGGCTTAAGAGAAACCACCTCCGAGTTGTGGAGTCCATGCAAAGCACCCTGGATGCTGAGATCAGGAGCAGGAACGAAGCCCTGAGACTCAAGAAGAAGATGGAGGGAGACCTGAATGAAATAGAGATCCAACTGAGCCATGCCAACCGCCAGGCTGCTGAGGCACAAAAGAACCTGAGGAACACACAGGGAGTGCTCAAGGTCTGTTGAACAGAAATTGCCTACAGAGAAATATCTTAGTTGATACTTTCAGTGCCTAAGAGCTCTAAATCTGCTTATAATTTCTTTCACTGGCTCTGCAGGACACCCAGATCCATCTGGACGATGCTGTCAGGTCACAGGAGGACCTGAAGGAGCAGGTGGCCATGGTGGAGCGCAGAGCAAACCTGCTGCAGGCTGAAATTGAGGAGCTAAGGGCAGCCCTGGAGCAAACAGAGAGGTGTAGGAAAGTGGCTGAGCAGGAACTGATGGATGCCAGTGAGCGTGTGCAGCTCCTCCATACCCAGGTGAGGTCACTTGGTGAGAAATGGCACTCTTGGTAAATGGGAAAACACTTGGATGCTTTATTCCAGCCAGCACTGGAGGCTCAACTTCGAAGAAGAGAGTCCTCTTTTTGGAAGTAATCATCATGACACCAAAAGTAATCTTTGCTGAAAAAGTGTGTGCACTGGCTGTGTTCCCAGGCTGCACATAATGACACCCAAACTTCTATCTCATTTGCATCCCCACATAATCTCCAGAGGAAAGAAACTTTAGTCACAGGGACCATTTTTGTTCAGTCACACAGGCCCAAATGCTCTGAGCAGTCGGGGACTGAAACTCTGAGACCAGAGCAACGTTCACTCCTTGTCAGTTGAAATGTAGCACTGAGGAATCCTCATATGACGCCCAAAATGTGTTTTTTCACTAGCAAGAAGGCAGGGATGAGCTGGTTCTGATGTAGCCCACATCAAGTAGACTTTGACATGAGCTCCATGTTGTAACAGTCATCTCCCAGTCAAGTACTGAAATCTATGGAAAGTGTCTGGTTTCAAGAGCTGAAAAGATCCTGGAAGGCATCCATCCTATCTGCATTCCAAATTTTTCAGTTCAGTTGTTGAGAGTGAATTGCTCTTCCCTAATGTTGTTGAAGACAAGGCATCTCACTGACTTCCCTCACTCTATTTTTACTCATTTCCTGCGCCAGCCTTGGTGGGTGAGATGTGGCACAGATTGCAATTCAAAGCACTTATTAAAATTAATTAGATTAATTCTTGGAGAAAACTAGACAAAACAAAACAAAACCAAGCCCCTCTTCCCCCATCATAAGAAATGGTACAGAAAAAAATCTCTGGCATTGATTTTTCACATAGTTAAGCCTGAAATTACTGAAAATCCTGTAATGTTCTTGATTTCAATCAAAAATAAACCTCTGATGCTGCTCAACAGAACACCAGTTTGATCAACACCAAGAAGAAGCTGGAGACAGACATTGCCCAGATTCAGAGTGAAATGGAGGACACGATCCAGGAAGCTCGCAATGCTGAAGACAAGGCCAAGAAAGCCATCACAGATGTGAGTTGGGAGCTCCTTGCATTGATTATGGTGAATGTGTTCTCTCTCAGAATGTCTCCATCCCTAAACTGACATTTGACCCTTTGCTCTGCTCAGGCTGCCATGATGGCAGAAGAGCTGAAGAAGGAGCAGGACACCAGTGCTCACCTGGAGAGGATGAAGAAGAACCTGGACCAGACAGTGAAGGACCTGCAGCACCGTCTGGATGAGGCTGAGCAGTTGGCACTGAAGGGAGGCAAGAAGCAAATCCAGAAGCTGGAGGCCAGAGTGAGTAGGGCTGGGGTTGGTGCCTATGTCCCTTGGAGGGATTGCCCAGGGAAGCTGCAGGGCTGTGCTTGTCCTTGCAGGTGAGGGAGCTGGAAGGGGAGGTTGATGCTGAGCAGAAACGCAGCGCTGAGGCCGTGAAGGGTGTGCGCAAGTACGAGCGGAGGGTGAAGGAGCTCACCTACCAGGTAAGGCAGGAGCTTCTTCGTCTTCACACACTCTTCTTCCAGGAAGCCAAAACGTAGTCCTTAGGGAATCCCCTCTGTCCTGAGTCACACACACAAAAAGGCAAAGATGGAGAAAAACCAGAAGAATTTATCTTTCTGGTCATGTTAGGAAGATCCAACTTATCACTTCTGTCTTACTGGCCAGGAATGGTCAATTAGAAATGTTTCTCCTGCTTTCATGTAGAGGATGGGCCAAGAGATACTTGTCTTTCTTGTTATTCTCTTTAGTCTGAGGAAGACAGGAAGAATGTCCTCAGGCTGCAGGACCTGGTGGACAAGCTGCAGATGAAGGTGAAAGCCTACAAGAGACAAGCTGAGGAGGCTGTGAGTATTGCTGTATGCAGAATTGGTCTTCACCCAGGAGAGGAGAAAACTGTGTTGGCGTTTTCCCCCCGTGTACCTCTGTTTGAACCCTGGCCAACACTGTAGGATTAGGTGTCTGTTTCCTTTCAGTCTCTTTAGTTCATATTTTTGCCTAGCAGGAAAAAAAATCACCTTCAAAAATGGTAA